TGTCATGAATATGCAGGAGTTTTTATGCATGTTTATGACAACTGTCATTAAGTGTCATTCGCTCAATTATGACATTTTGAATGCAAATATGACATTGTGTGAGATGTCTTTGTTCAAACAAAAAGCTGCAAAAGGGCCAAATTTTAATCCCAAAATTTCACTGTATGCGAGTCTCTATTTGCCCCAATGGAATAAATGCTTTGTGGGATCTCCATATCTCAGCTCTGGAAGGCTCTAGAGCCTCCAATCATGCATTCATGTCTCGGCACCTTCTAACAGAATACAAGATTTCGAGAATATCCAAGAAACTTTTTTTTTAGACCCAAAATATCTATAAGGGGTACGTGTACCTTATAGTTTTTTTGGGTCGAAAAATAAAGTTTCTTGGATATTCTCGAAAACGTGGATTCTGTTAGAGGGTGCTGAGACATAGACATGAATGCATAATTGGAGAAATTTTGGGACTCAGGCGAGCCCTCCATATCCGTCCAATGGCAGCTTATTTGTATGGTCGTTTGTACAGGAACCTCCTATATGTACTTCTTATATTATTCAACAAAATTTTTATTGACATCTACTATTTCTTTTAGATTCTTGACACAAGGATTGCACAGCTCTGTAAAGCACATGGTGGAACTGCTTTACAGGTGCACACGTTCGTTCTCTGGTGGCGATCCTTCACTATCAAGAAACATGTGGATGACAGTCACATTTCTTGTCTGAAGGTAAATGAAAATCTATCAAATAAATTTCAGGGGCAGGGGACACATTTACTTACTTATTTACTTAAAAACATTTTAAAGGACCTTGGTGAGATTGACACAGTCCTTATTCCAAGAATTGTTGGTGGACAGAGCCCCGAAAAGGGAAACCACTTCATTTTGTGGGTATGTATGGATAAAAAAAATGTTTACATTTTTGCTCAACAGTTGTTACTCTGGTTACAGCGGTTTCTGTTTATGTTCGTTGTAAAAACATTGAAACCCATTTTTAACGTGGTTTTTTGCAGAGTTCCCTCAAGCCAGTCCATGACACCTCCTCGCCTACCAGGTCACGACCCCACCATCTAAAGGGGAAATTGACTGACTGCATCATCTAGGCCTTAGGATGGTTCCACAAAGAATTGACTGCATATACAACATGAATTTACTTCAAACTAAAGATTTGACTTTTCATACAGCAAAAGACACTGCATCTATTTGTGTCTCATTAGTTCTCAAACTTTAACCTTACAGTTCATTAAATATTTAAACACAGCTAACTCGACATTAATTGTTTTTAAATCTTCACAATGTATAGCCAGAGAACTATCACAAAAGTATTTAGGAAAGTAAAGACATACAAAAGTGTTTCTGTTTAAAGCTGCTTTGTATTGTTGTGAAAGCTCTATAAATGTCCTAAAACGATGTGCATTTTGCTTGTAGTTTTGTGTTAATAAAAATGTAATATATTACATCTCATAATTAATTCAGTTGAATTCATTATGTATTGTGAAATTTAATTACAATTTTATACAAGTTTTGGTTCACTAATTTTATTACATTAAATGTTATTGTGTTGTATGATGTTCTGTATTAAGATTATATTATGCCATAAATCATAATGCATTAGTACACAAATGACATGCTTGTAATAAAAAAAGCATATTATGCCCTATTGCTTAATAACAAATAACTTTGTCACAAAACACACTTAAAAATGGTATTTCTTTAAAATAAAAGATTATTATATGAATTAAGGTGTTTGATTACATTAAGATTTGTGATTCCATAATGTTATTATACTGTTCTTTAGTCAAGGCTTGACAACCAATTAAATATTTATACCCACAAAACATAGCTAGCATTCTGTAATTTATTTAAATGTCTAAACTGTTAATAAGAAAATAGTAATATACACAAATAAACATTATGTTATGGCTCTTTTAATAAATAAAAGTGTACCTGTAGCATATTGTGCCGATTATTGCTTAAAAAATAATGAATTATAATCGCACTATTAACTGCTGTGAATACGGTAAGGCAGTATCAGTGCAGTATAAGCTCATAGCACGATCATCGGATAACGTTAGCTGTATGCTATGCTACTAAGCTAACTAAAAAACACACTAACAACGAGAAATGTTTATTTTCACAATCTATAGCTTCGGTTAAATACTAGTATATGAAACGTATAATTTAAAATACATTAATGACTCGTTATACCGTAGTACAAACGTCTTCTATAATAAAGTGATTTTGTATGATTTGTAACCAGGCACCAAAGCGATTACCTATAAAACGTGCTTTGAACCAATCGGATTGCTTGTGTCCTACACCCGGACTATTTACACCGAGTGACCGGATTATTCACCACACCGGCTATAAAATGTATGTTTATAGCCATATGTGTGACCTGTGTATTAGATGAATTGCAGTTGTTGAAACTTAGCGTTTCTTTTCTCATACATCTTTCAGCTGAAAGAGAGTGAACCTGAAGGCTTGTGTGTTTTATGTATTGATTGTCTTGAATATTTAAACATCCTCTTCATGTTTCATTGCATACATTACAAAACAAAAAAACATTATTTTCTGAAAATACCAATACATTAAAATATGTATTTCATGCAAAAGAATATACGAACAAAAATGTTTATTTCATGATTGGTTTAATTTAGTTTTTTTCACAGTGAATACACTACAGATTCACAAAGAACAGCAGATGACCAGAAAACTGCAAGAAACTGCAATGCAAAACACAATCAATACAATATACTGTGTGTTGTATAAGGGCAGACCTGACACATATAAAATAATGCAGTTTCTGTAATTCCATCAGATGTTCGTGTTTTTATTGTGCTGTGATTGACTAAATCTTCCTGTTGGACGAGAACATATGTTGGTGTTTTGAAGAATTATTTGATTTTGAGACATGTTTGCAGTGTTTTGGTAGAATTAGTGTATTGTTGCTAGTGTATTATTGTATTTTGAAAATTAGTGTTGAAGTTTAGTTTACAATGTGTGATTTTGAGCATGAAATTAACTGGTTTGCCAATTGTGTGTTGTAGGTGTGTTGGTGCGTTAAGAGTTTAGGAAATTTGTTAAAAGTATTGAAACAATTGTCATAGCGATTGTAAAAAACTGTAATTCAAAAATACATACAAAATGGTTTCTTACAAAAGTGGTTTATTTAGTTTTTTCACAATACATGCAGATTTACAAAGCAGACAAAAAAAACCAGACATAAGCAACATAAATGTATATTTAAATAGAAACCTGTACAAAATATACATATGTACAAAGAATGTTTGTCTAACAGTTTGACAAAAATACACATTCTCAGTTCATCAGTTGATTAAATAGAAAAAATAATTCCTAGATCATGTATTATATTTTTAAGGCTGCTTTACATTAATACTAAACACAGATACAGTAACAGATTCCTGAGGAAGAACTGCAGCACAAATGTTCATACGTACTGACAATTAAATATATATTGCAGAAATATGATGACAGATTCCTCTGCAGGAAATGGTTTTGTTTTGAAGGAGAAAAAAGCATTTATTACTGGACTCGGTCGAGAACAACCAGTGTTGGGTATAGTTACTTTGGAAAGTAGTTAATTAGGTTACAACGTTACCATCAATTCGCCTTTGGCTAAGCCCCGCCCCCCTTAGTTACTGTTGCTACGTCCGACAAACAAACTTCATCTGGGCTCTGGTATCAACATGGCTTATGCTGTGACAGCTCTTCCTGCTGACATTTTATCAAACTTTTATAAAGCAGCAAATAAAGTGTCTGATAGAAGTAGGCAAAAGCGGCTGCAATATACGTTCGAAGGCTATATTCACGACATACAGGGGAAACGCAAGGAACAACAAGGCATCCAAATAGAGGCAAAAGCAGACCAGTCACAGTCAACAAATGACCCACCGCATATCCTACTAATGGAGACGGAGGCTGGGACTCACAATATCAAGGAGTAACACTGTTCATGCAAAGCTGGAGGTCTCTATTCACTTCTATAATCGTTATTACAAAGCAAACGGACTACGCGAGTATAACGTTGTATTATTAGCAGCGTGTGCTAGACGACACTTGTCAGGATTTGACTTCGGTTTGGGAAGGGAAAAAAACGCCCACCCCCCTCCAACCTCTCTGGGAAATGCGTATCTGTGTTACAAATGCCCCAGGCACAACGTTTAACCATATTTTTTATAAAACTACGACGGCAATAGCCAGCCGAGACCAAAAATATGAGACGCCTGTGTTAAAGTCAATGGAGCGCTGTGAAAAGTGTCGGACCACTGTGGGAGCTCGTTCTCGGCTGCGCTGTGATTGGTCAATCTACATTCTAGGGTGTGGCTTAGCCAAAGGCGAATTAAAAGTAATCAGTTACGTTACAGCGTTATCTATTTAAAAAAATAACGCGTTAGAGTACTCATGCGTTACCAAAAATTAAAAGCCGTTTGCAGCGCCTCACACGGCCCCCTTTAAATGCACCTAGAAGTCGTGACTCCTGGCAATGAATAACGTCAGTCATCCGACTAAATTAACACTGCGGGATAACAATAACAGGAAAGACAGTCATCAATAGGCTATTCCACAACACCAGAGTGCTAGATTGGTGTTTGGATGTGAGATGTGAAAAACACACACACACACAGGGGGGAGCAGGGCACAGACGTATCACAGCCATTGACTTTATGATCACAGCGCTCCGGCTCCGCTGATACACCCGCAGGTGGCACAGTAGACCGAGGCATACTACTGTCGGACCAAACACAGGCTGCAGTCGGGATTTTCCTTTCCTTAAAATAACGGATTACTTTTTTTTTTTAAATAACAAAGTTACTGATTACTTAACGCACAAAACTAACGCGTTAAGTTACACATATCACGAAAAAGGTAATTAGAGTACTCTAACGCGTTACCCACAACACTGAGAAACACTAACATGACCAATGACCAAGTCCAATACAATATAAAACTGTGTAGAGACTGAACTGGAGAACTACAGCACTAGATCATCATGATCCACAGATCCTCAATCTGATCCTGAACTCTGAGGGTTTTTTTTTTTTTTTTTGGACGTCTGTATCTCACAACAGCAGACAGAACCACCAGAACCAGCAGAAACACAGTCAGTCCAACCGGCAACATCCAATGATCTACAGCTGAAGGGAAAAGTGGGAAGAGAGTTTATTTATTTATGTTGAATTCACTGTTTAAGATCTTCTGTAATTCTCTCATGTTTTACTCACGTCGATGTTCAGTGTCGCTCAGATTTCCCTTCGAGTCTAGAACAGATTCTGTCCAGAATATTGAAAGGTTAGTCGTGCAGTTTAGTATTAATTTACTGATTAAACATAATATTTCTGCTCCTCCACTGATCTTCTCTCACCTGTGACTGTGACTGTGATCAAGGCTTCATTATTAGAGTCCAGAGCTCTGTATGTTCCAGTGTCAGTGACTGTAAAGTCATGAATGATCAGAGTCTGGTCACTGACGGTCAGTCGATCACTGCTGACCCCGTGACCTCTGACCCCGTGACCTCTCCTCCACACCTCTGTCCAGCCGGAGCGAGAGTTTCTCTCCACTTTATCAGCGTTGATCAACACAACATCCAACTTCAGATCCTCTCCTTTCTTCACTGAGATCTCATCTGAGGACACACACACATTCATCCTCAATCACAACTATAATAGTGTCATTTAATCAAGGCCATAATCACATATTTAATATTGGGGGATCAGAGGAAAACATTGGAAAAACCCAATCCACTCTGAATATTAAGTTTGTCCATTCAGTGTTTCTGCTGTTTCTAGTCCTGCACACAATACCAACACTATTACAGGAAATAAAGAAAACACATGATGATGTTTGATCAGTTTTGACTTTACCGTGAATATGAAGATGATATTCCCTGATCTGTCGCTTCACTTCTCTCTGATCATTATTGTAATAAACACGTAAAAAGTATTTCCCAGCGTCACTGTAGATCAGATCGTTGATGATGACGTCACATGATCCTTCTTTACACACTCGACCGCTGCAGTTTCTCTCCTCACACACAGGGATGTGTTTCCACACACTGAATAAACTGATCTCCACAATCTCTCTGTCCTCAGATCCACAGGATAGAGTGACGATTCCTCCCTTTATTCCTGACACAGGTTTAGTGGAGGATCCTGCACACACACACAGCAATATTCACTCAATACACACTAGCAATACTGACAAATAAATGTTCTGGCTATTTTCTGTAATCAATATGATCTTAAAGGGATACTCCACTTTTTTTGGAAATAGGCTCATTTTACAACTCCCCCAGAGTTAAACTGTTGAGTTTTTACCGTTTTTGAATCCATTCAGCCGATCTCCGGTTCTGGCGGTACCACTTTTAGCATAGCTTAGCATACATCATTGGAGTGGACAAGACCATTAGCATTTCTCAAAAAAAAAGACCAAAGAGTTTTGATATTTTTCCTATTTAAAACTTGACTCTTCTGTAGTTACATCGTGCACTAAGACCGACGGAAAATGAAAAGTTGTGATTTTCTAGGCTGATATGGCTAGGAACTATACTCTCATTCCTGCGTAATAATCAAGAAACTTCACTGCCGTACCATGAGAGCAGCAGGCGTAATGATATGACGCAGCGCCTGAAAATAGACCACCTTCCGTCAACACAACGGAACTATTTTCAGGCGCTGCGTCATATCATTACGCCTGCTGCTCTCATGGTACGGCATTGAAGTTTCTTGATTATTACGCAGGAATGAGAGTATAGTTCCTAGCCATATCAGCCTAGAAAATCACAACTTTTCATTTTCCGTCGGTCTTAGTGCACGATGTAACTACAGAAGAGTCAAGTTTTAAATAGGAAAAATATCAAAACTCTTTGGTCATTTTTCTTTAGAAATGCTAATGGTCTTGTCCACTTCAATGATGTATGCTAAGCTATGCTAAAAGTGGTACCGCCAGAACCGGAGATCGGCTGAATGGATTCAAAAACGTTAAAACTCAACAGTTTAACTCTGGGGGAGTTGTAAAATGAGCCTATTTCCAAAAAAAGTGGAGTATCCCTTTAAATATTCTAGTGGAGTTATTTTAGTAAACTGGATTAAAATAAATAAATTATGAAGGCAACAAGTAGCCATAAATATTAGAAGTGGCACATTACAGGTTTCATATGTTGATGACAGTATAAACCTAGAGATGAGCTACACAACAGAAAAACAGTTGACTAGAATAACTAGATTGAACTAGAACTTTAAAATCATAAATGACACTGACCGCTATAACTGATAAAGCACAGCAGAAGAAGAAGAAGAAGAAGAAGAAGATTCATCCTGATGAGAAAACAGAAGGTGTGTTATGTGACAGACACACACTACATTACACACACACTTTCAGTTTATTGAAAGATTTTCATCCACATGTGGATCTTACATGATTAAAAAATATCAAACTATAATCTTTTTTATCTTCGTTTCTGCCATCATAGAAAGCACAATGGACGTGTGTGCGTGTGTGCGCGCGTGTGTGTGTGTGTGTGTGTGTGTGTAAATCATGTAGATTCACTGAATTTGCCCCCAGTGGTGAAACATACGAGTGTTTATGGTTTTTACCTGATCTCTGATCAGTTCTATTCATTGTAGCTGTTGTAATTAGACATTAGTGTGATTAAAATGAATAATAGTTAATAGTCTCTTGTTGGCCTTATTATCTGAGCCATGAAAAAAAAACTAAACAAGCCCTGAACAGTAATAAAAGGACACATTATACAGACATTTGATATTTAATCTTATTAGATGATAAGTTAATGGAATTTGATATTTTACTTTGTTATGTGTCTGTAAAAGCTGTTTTTCTGCATGTTTGGTCTGAGTTTGTTGCAGTTTCACTGTTGGACCAGCAGGAGTCGCCAGCGAGTGGAGATTCGAAACACTGAATCATTTTGCGAACCAAATGTTTCACTTGATTCGAAGCTTCTTTTCTCCGAGACTCCAGTGGCACTCTGAGCTCAACTCTACTTTCAGCTGTAACTTTCTCCTCCTCTAGACTGCTCTTCTCTCCTGGATTTAATGTTGCAGAAGTTTAAGCCACTGTACTTTCACAATCGGCTGACGAAATAACACCGTATACTTTAATTTGTAAAGATCGAAGTTACGGATTCGCCATTATATTTCATGAGATAGCATTTTCAAGTCATTTTATTATTTAATAGTTTTTTTTTTTTAGTTAAGTGCTTATTGTAAATGGGTATTTTGAATTATTTTATTTACTGAACCGCTACTGATCATCAGATAGCAGCGATATCAGATAGGCTATATCATCATCGGCATTGAAACGGCACAAATGTACATCAGCGCATATGCAGGTTTAGTTTTCCACAAACAGACACAGTCATTGGTATAAGAATATAAAAACTCACAAGCTGGCATTATATTTAAAAATATGAAAACTTACATGGTAAAAGTTCTGCATGGCTCTTATGTTCAGCCAGGCTTCATCAAAACAGACAGCTCGCGGACAAGGGTAACTCAGTTCTGGCTGTAGGAAAGCAGGACGAATCTCCAGTATTTATACAGGACTCGCAGAGTCGCGAAGACAGAAATCACCGATGGGGCGGGGGGCGGAGTAGGCTGTTGCTCTCCATGCTCTGATTGGCTGTATTTTTTAAAGGAACAGTATATCAAGCGCCTTTACATTTATGGCAAACCGTTTTAACATTTAATCATGAAACGCAGGTTACTAGTATCGATTTTTGTTTTACTACTATTTTTATATACTAGCAGCAGTAGCTATTACATTACGTTCTATAGGCTAATTATTCATTAGATTGTTCTTATTTATTCGATGGTACTTTATTTTATTTATAGATTTATTAGATGGTATAGCCTACTCGTAATGCGTTATGACTTTCTCAGTTTGTGTAAATCTATTCAGGGTTCAGAGTATTTATTTTTTCCCACATTAATTTCACAAATGACTAATACAATTATGTGGTTTTGTTTCATTAATAGTGTACACTTTTTTCTAGATTTACTCTGAAAGATTGGAAGTAAAGTGTGACAACTTGCCCCACATCTGGAGTTCATTATAACATGACTATATGACAGATTCAAATGTTATCTGATCTAATAAAATAATATACAAGACAAACTAAAATATGTTATCAATAAAATACAATTATTAATATTTTCATATAAAATAAAGGAATTTTTTAATATTAATTTTAAAAAAGTAGTTTGACAATAAACACACCGGAAAAGCTATAGGGTTTCAGAGCTTGAACCCCTAAAAAAAGCATGTTGTGGCTTGTGATATAAGAAATGTTACAAGATACTAGAGTAACACCGTGTCCTAACCAGACGCGACGAGAGTCCAGCGACAAATAATGTGTCTGTCCACGCGACTGCGAGACGCTCAAAACTCTGAGAGTAATCCTGACGCACTCGCAAGAAAAGGGATCAGCCGGCTACATGTAACCTGGGTGAAGTTGAGCATTTGAATGTAATTTAAGTAGAGTACTTATTTTTTGTTATGTTTGATGTAATTCACGAATCTTAGCATATGTGACTGTTTCTTTAAAATTTAGTTTTGCTATTTTGTTTGGTTGAAATGTACTTGCTGGACAATGGCTGCGTCCGAAACCGCATACTTCCCTACTATATAGTATGGGAAAAAGAGTAGGCGAGCGAAAAGTATGTACGAATCATAAAAGAGTAGGCGAGAATTACCTGGGTGACGTGCTAATTATCGCGAGATTCGGACTTAAGTGCGTTCGAATATGCCTACTTTCCTACTATATAGTAGGCGAAAACAGTATGTGAAGGAAGCAGTACGTTCGAAACATCAGTATTCATAAAAGAGTAGGCGAGAAGTTCCCGGATGCCTTACTGCTTCAGCCCAGATTTTTGAGTGCTCAACCGATGGATACTGTGGATACTCATCTATCCCAGGAGGCCACGCGAGAGCATACGTCATTATCAAACATCACGGAGATCAGCGACGCGGGGGTTTTCAAATGTGAGTAAACACGGTTCCTTATGTGTTAAACTACTATAGAGTAAACGTTTTAACTGTTGAAGGTGTAAAGTAGTTAGACAGTATAGTTGTGATTTTGCTGTAAAAACATGTTTTGTATAGCTAGCTAACAGGGGAGCTCTAAGCACACGTAACGTCTCTAAAGTTGATTTACATAACCATATACATCTTAAACACGCTTATTTAAAATGTCTATTTACATCTGAAAGGAAAATATTGTAAGTATTGACATATTGCAGATGAGCACATCACAACATGAAAAAGACATCTGAGTGATGTATGTGTGGCATTATTATAGGATAACGTTAATTCACTGTTGTCAACACTGTTGACATTAGACAAATGTGCTGTAAATAAGGTAAATAAACAAATCTATAAAGTAACTAAACATGTTTTTATTCAGACTGGTGTGAGCACTGAGGATGAGGAGCCCAGAGCTGAATCCTGCAACGGGGGCATGGATGAGACGCTCCATCTCTCCACCGGCCCTTATCGCCTCAGACTGTGAAGCGCAGCAACAAGCTCCGGCACGAAGGCACGGTCACCTCTGGTGAATTCATCAGAGTAAAGCCGCAGAATGGGAACCGCTGTGTTGAGATGGCAGTATGAGGGGTTCAGCGCCTGTAAATGCTTGTAGTTTGAATAAAGATTTGTTTCATGTGTTGTTGAATTGTATATGCATTTGTTTATTGTGTGATTGTTACTTTTATTTGTTCTTTTACTCATTTATTCATGTTTCTTATTGTTGTCAGTATATAAAATATAATTATTTAATTAATTCATTGCTTGACTTACAATTGAGATGTTCACGTGTATTCATGCATAACTCATATGACAAAACAAATTACATTTTGCTTGTTATATTAAATTATATAATTTTTAGTATATAAAAAAAGTAATATAATTAAGTATTGGTCAGCATTTAATATTATTTTGTTTAAGTTTTGGGGTGGGCTAACAATGCAATTCATTCTGAGGTAGGCTAATATTAATTTTTAAGGATACTTACATTTTTCGAGTATAAAGTCAACAGTTTTCTCCACAGGAGAGATCTTCGAGCAGCGGCCCGTCTCCTTGTGCAGACATTACAAACGCAGAGGCAAATGGATGCGAGATACGATCTCTGTGAGATACGATCTCTTGGGACGAGACGGCAGTTTAGCGCTGCGTGTCTGAGGCAATTCGATAAAGACAGTAATTTTAAAGCATGATGACTAACCAGATAGCGCTCTGAATCACCGTGAGGTTCAGAGTTCCTCTGGCTACGTGGGACACGCGGAGCCACTGACTATTTCACGAGAGCAGCCAAGAGAGCGAAACACTCGTTTGCTGAGCCCAACGGACAGCTTTGGGACCTACAGGTATTATTGATTTTATTTTATTTTTGCTCTTTAGAGTGAAGGGGCCAATTTTGAGTTTGCTTTAACGGCCACAACGCACACAAGCAACGCTACAGGCCTGCAACGCGGGGGGAAAGCGCGCACGTGAGACTGTGTGAAAGTGTGTGTGTGTGTGTGTGGGCCCACTATTATTTTATTATAACTTTGGTTCATCTGAGTAAGAGGATCCATTTGTAATTTGTTGATTTGAAGGGTTAATTTATGTTATTAAAAACCTAACTACATAGGCAATTTTGCCATTTGGAATATTCAAGTCACATTTGTGACATTTCGGGGAGTGTTTTGATACCCTAGGGAAGTTGTAATTCTTCTTATTTGAATATTTTTATTTTCATTCTATATTCAAAGGACTTTTAATAAAATTTGTAATTGTTTATTGTGAAAGAACAGATTTATTTTTCTTACTTTTGGTTTGTATGTTAAACCGTGGTAGTGGTGTTGTTAAATACCCTTTTTGAGGGTTTTATTTCTGTGCTCCATATCAATAAGAGGTCAGACTATTGTTAGTTGAGTTTAAAAAGAGTTCCCAAAATTAGTCGAGAGACACAAAATAAAAGAACCCGTGTGATCACTCTAAATATCTCTGAAAAGAAGAACCTTCTGTCTGAGTAGGGTGTTGCATACATAATCAAATTCACAAATATTACACCATTTAAACATTATTAAAAATACAGAGGCTACTGAGTTACTAAAACAATCTTTGTCAAACAAATTCACTTGTTTGTTCACAGTTTGAACGTTCTTGTTTCCATTTGTTTAATTTCAAGATCTGAGGTGAATTATCGATTGTTGCTTTTACATCTGCAAAGCTGGAGCGCTAACTGATATTCAAATTCACATTACACGCTTTTAACATTAAATAAAGCACATAAACAGCACCTGAGATTATCATCGCCACACTTTGTGTCTGTTGTTCTAATGCAACAGAAAAATAGAAACCGTGGCTGCGTTCGGAATCGCATACTTCCCTACTATATAGTAGGCGAAAAGAGTAGGCGAGCAAAAAAGTACGTTCGAATCCTCAGTATTCATAAAAGAGTAGGCGAGAATTACCTGGTTGACGTA